ACATCACACGTAGACCTATAATGCACGTGAACTTAAAGGTCAGTCGTTCAGCTACATAAGTAAAAGAAGGCGTTCGCATTACCGGTGTGAAACAGACTGAGACAAAGTCTGTAAAATTACTAATGCCTTGCTATATTTGATCACAGAAGATCGATGAGCTTAACTCGTGATCATGAAACTGCGTTGGTTTATATATTGAGTTTGGATCAAGAGAGCTCAAGGCGGAAGATATGACATCAAATGGGGTTTAACGTCCGACTTTTCTGTACCAACCGGACTAATGAGAGAGAGAGAGAGAGAGATGGGGTTTAACGTCCACTCGACACAAACTAGGTCATTTCGGGTCTAAGATATTGTTTCAGTTTTTATTTCAATAATTCGCTTGCGCGTAGGGGTCTTTAGCAGTGGGGGAAACCGGAGGACTCGGAGAAAACCCAAAAGGTTGGACAGGCGACCCTACTCCTTGTTACGTACAACCGGGAATTCGAAACCACGCCAGTTGCCGGGCTAATGAAGATGGACATATGGCATGTTGTGAAGAATATTTTACATTCGAACCCCCTAGAAATCGCAATAGAGAAATCAAGTTAACCGTAATGGTACTCTATAGTCATGATTTTATAGTTTCCCCGTTTGCTGCAGAAAAGGGCATAACCAGTATAAAAAGTAGGCTTACACATACTAGAACCATTCCACTTGAACTTGAGGGCAACCAGCTCGGAATTACCCACCCTTACTTGGAATATCTGTGCTTTGGATCCCGACTTGCCCATTCCCGAAGGAAGCACGAAGAGTTGCACGCAGACACCGTGGACATTTTTTGGGAAACTTTTATTTATTTACATTGTAGTTCAAGAATAATCACAGGCAAATATAACAGATACATTTATAATATGAGCATAAACTATGTAATATTACAGTAACCAATGGTAACCATACAATATACAGCTACCAATAGTAACCATATTGTATAAAGTAAACAGTATAGTAAACATATAATACACGGTAACCATAGTAACCATATAATATACAATAACTATAGTAGTCATATAATATACAATAACTATAGTAACCATATAATATACAATAACTATAGTAACCATATAATAGTATATAATTTAAAGTAATCAATAGCCATCACATAATTTACATGAAAAACGTTAACCATACAGTATTCGGTAATCATAGTAACCATATAAAAATAAAGTAACCAATAGTTACCATATAATATACATGGTAATCATATAATATATAATAACCACATAACGTACGACAATCATAGTGAACAAACAAATCGTAATCACAACGACTAAACCACTGGTGTCAGACCCCCATTTATTTCATTTTCTTTTAATAATCTTCCACTCCCTTTTCTCCCGGTTTGCATATGATCATTTCTGTGGTTCTAGAATCGAAGAAAAGGGTTTAAATCGACATTTTCTATCATATTTGGTAAATATTCATGATTTAGGGGCGGAAGGATAACAGAATTAATAGGTTGGTTGCCTCCTATTGACCCGAATTACCCCACTGAGACTAAATTGTTGACGATCATACGATTCAAAATTGAAAATAAAATCATCTCCTATAGTACTCAAAGCAATTATTCAATTCAAATAACTACTTTATGAAGACAAGTAAGCCAAGATTAAAGGTCATTATGTTGAAATACGTAATATTATTACGTATACGTAAATCGAACATTTTACTACACAAATACATTGAACTTAGGCGGTGGACACATGAGCAGAATCATTCGGCGCCGCGCCGAATTTTATTCGGCCCAATGGGTGGACACACCAGGTGAATCCTTCGCCCGATTCACTAGACGATTGCATCATCTTTCACGTCACATGATTAAACATGGCGGCGACCCTGTCTTCAATCAATCAAATGACTTCTCGATATAAGTGGATGGTGAGTGGTGATTGGCTAATGAATTCTACAACCGAAGCAGACACACTAGCCGAATATATCAATCATGTTTGATTCGGGCGAATCATTCGGCCGAAGGACAGTGGACACACTAAGCGAATTTCGACACCGATATATTCGGCCAAATCATTCGGCTAGTGTGTCCACCGCTTTAGGTTTATGAACCTTGACGTACTTTCCGTGAAATAGACTCCTGGATTATTTATAATATAACATTCAGTATTTATATTCATACATAATTATATACACACACCACGATAAATATTAAGTATGTAAATACAGCGATAAGAGAAATTATATATATCCATTATAATTATTATACAGTTATTTGTCATATAAACCTCTGAGTAGTCTGTTGACAGCTGGTGTCCCGTGTGTCATGGCTAGCTCAATAGATATGGTTTATCCATGGGCTATAGGCAGACAATGCGTTAAGGACAGCTGAATATATTAGTTTTTTTCCATGGGTTACAGATAGGTAGAAAAGATGTTGTGGGCAGTTGAATATGTTTGGATTTTCAATTTGATAAAGATAACCAAAATATCAACCATTTTGTTTCCTCTATTCTTGATTCCATTATACGTGTAATAATCTTTTAATCATACTCTTTATAGCAGAGGTGGCTTACTTATGGCAGCAGTGGCACATCCGACCATTCCACGTGGCACATTGCGTCTCATACTAATAATTATCTAATTAAAAAATAATTAACTAATTTGACTCCAAATATCAATATAGCTTGTGTGTGTGTGTGTGTGTGTGGGGGGGGGGGGATATAACTTGTCTTCTACTTTAATATATTGCAGTTATATGGCACATTTGAAGTCGTGTGGGTAATATTTGGCACATGTAAAAAGGTTGACGTTCACTGCCATATAGATTCATTTTACGTGATAGGTTTTGTAATGTTTCTAAAGGAATTTAATTTTCAGCTTATACAATTTCATCAATCCGATTAAAATACAGATCTATATTTCGTTTCGTTTTTTTTATACTTTCAATGGTCTACACTACATGAAGATCTGACTGGTTGTTCTGGAAGATCGTCTCAGGGGTCGTTTGAAGGACCTTTGACCCTAAGACGCCAGACATTGACTAATCAATCAGCGTTGACGTTTCTAGTGGTTTACCCGCAGTTACGTGCATCGCACACCAAGAACCTCGCTGTAACAGACCGTTTCATTAGCTAATCCCTCACTTCAACCAGAACGCGAGTTATATAACAACTCTTCCACATCCTAGTGTAGTAAAGACAAGTAAAACGAAATTTTAAACTATAAAAAAAAAACGAAACAAAATAGGATCTGTGTTTTAATCAGACAGCAATTTCATGATCCATTTCCTCGCAACCCTTTGTGGGGCTTGCAGTATTAATCGTAATTATAATTATAAGCACTATATGAAACAGCTATATTTATATTCAACACACAACAATATATCACATCAAAAATAAGCTCATTTCTTCTTTCACGGACAACCGCATTAAGACATTTAAAACAGAGTTAATATTTAACAAGAATCATCGTGAAACCTTTCAATAAGACACGCCTTTTGATTATAAACGTGCCAAAAGTGGAACCAATCGGTGGACTGGTTTAAACCAGTGGATCTGTTATAATGACTGATTTACATTTCATGATCAGACTAGACTCCAAAAGATTAGTAATTAGCTAAACTATAACTACTTAAAGATACATTATGGGAGATTCGATAACGAGTTCGCAGTTCTCACTATAATAGTTAAAAACTAGATAATGTAAGGGCAATTTGCTAAAAATTTCATTCAAACTGATCCACTACGAACTGAGAACTAAGCGACTGAAATTTCCGCCTAACCAAAGAATGGCATAAAATCAGTAGGCTAAATATATATGAAAAATATTTGAATTTTGTAAAATAAAAATATGGTAAGTCATACGACATACAACCGTAGACAGAGACTAGTCATAGACATATAGAATGACTCAGTCTAAATAAAGAAAGATACAGCTATGAACTTATCAGTAGACATCAACGTGGGTTTTCGCATTTTCTTAGTGTGCCGTTCAAAATTTCGCGGCACACTGGTTGAGAATCACTGATGTAACGTCGGTACGATAACAAACATAGTCTCGATTATCCATTTAATCTTTAAATCGTGAAGGAAAGTTATGCAGTTAATTGGCTCATAATCCACTAAAGACAGCAGGCTAGCGATGCCATCTAGAGTTGATTATGGTCTGGATAAGTTAATGTCTAATTAATAATTTAGATAACATTTCAAGCCCAAAGAAAGACCAATTAACAATATTTAAATCGATATTCGATTATACAGATATATAATAAAAATATTGATTGATTCGTTTAGAAGATTTTTCAAAGTGTTATCTATTAATCAAATAAGAAAATATGAATAGTTCACAACCAAACACAAATATGGCATCTTATGGCAAGAAAGACAAAACACGGACAGAAACGGAAAAACTTAGGTCAAATTTTAATATCTGACTTGATGGAGGTAAAACCACTACCATAATACGGCTACCATTGGGTTGATTCAAGTCCCGCGTTAATTCTAGGTTGTTTTATGACTAATGTTATATTTTAGATATTAACCTAAGCTCTGTCTGTAATAAACTATAACATATACTTATGTTATATTATATTATATTAACTTACGCGCTATCTGTAATAAACTATAACACATACTTATGTTATGTTATATTATATCAACCTGTAATAAACTATAACACATACATGTTATATATTTGATATTAACCTACGCGCTATCTGTAATAAACTATAAAACATACTTATGTTGTATTTTAAATATTAACCTAATCTCTATCTGTATATAAACTATAACACATACTTATGTTTTATTATATATATTAACCTAATCTCTGCCTGTAATAAACTATAACTTATGTTATATTATATTAACCTAAGCTCTATCTGTATATAAACTGTAACACATGTTATATTATATTATATTAACCTAAGCTCTATCTGTATATAAACTGTAACACATGTTATATTATATTATATCAACCTAAGCTCTATCTGTATATAAACTGTAACACATGTTATATTATATTATATCAACCTAAGCTCTATCTGTATATAAACTGTAACACATGTTATATTATATTATATCAACCTAAGCTCTATCTTTGATAAATTATAACGCATACTTATGTTGTATTTTAAATATTAACCTAAGCTCTGTCTGTAATAAACTATAACACATATTTATGTTATATTTTTGATATCAACCTAAGCTACATACTTTAACTTATGGATATCGTCAGTTTTACATAAAAAAATAACGTGAAAATAAACTAGTATTAATCCTCAGCTTTTACACATTATCCGAAGGTATAATAGTCGTTTAGCTTAACATAAACAAAGAATGTTACTATTCTACAGTCTGGAAGAATATATCGCGATTTCCATGCTTTTTAATCCCTAATTATTTTCAAGGATATCGAAAATGGGTGCCCCCCCCCCATTTGAAATCCATATTGGTTTCCATACTTTTTAAGTTTTTGAAAGATCTGGGGAAAAGGAGGCGCCCCCTTGATATCCTTATCATTTCCTATATCCTTTTATCCTTTCATGGCTAATTATTTTCAAAAAGGGGGTGGGGGATTAGAGGGGGTGGGGGAGGAGGGGGATATTGTCTTCCTGTAAATATCATGATTGTTTCATATTCTCAATTTACCACGTGCCTTGATAATACTTGAGATCATTACTGATACATTGAATCAATTGACTAGGATACGATTTAAAAGTCTATAAATAAAGAAAGGTTTTAGATTTGTTATAATAGTCCTATTTCATCCACTACTTGTCATCTACTGGTCTTCCGGGTGGTACCGTCTGATCCTGGTAACTGGATTCCCCTTCCATATCTTCATCTTTATGTTTAGTGTATTTAGTTCCGGTTTGATCCATGCTGGATTTTAGATTAACTTGTTCCTCGTCCTCGCCGTCACTCTTCATGTAGAAGTGGAATCCTAGGTTTAATTCGGGTATTTCATAAACAACGGCTAATACTGACATCAACATGACTAGACCTAATAACAGATATGCTGAAACAGAAAAAGACAGAACTTAAATTTAATTTTCTGAAGTAACAAATACCACCGTACTATTGATAAGGAACTGAATATATGACATCATCGCAGCCATCTTGGAATTGTGACATCCTACTTAGGGGATGCTAATTGAAGGCCGGCTGGGAGGTTAGGGAATTTCCGGAGTCCACAATGGCCGCTTTATATAAAACCTCGCCCGTGCCATTCATAAACCTAACACTTTTAAAGATGGTAAATTGGATCCAAATCCAGTCTTCTAAATAGGAAAAATGATTAGCGTCGGGGTTAGTATTCACCAAAATACTCACTATACCTGACTTCATTAATTCGATATTGCCGCTGCCCGGGCAAAATTTCCCTCATAAGACACTGTATGGCGTATGCCCGCCTTCATTAGCCCAGTATAGGAGCAGAACAGTAGGACGTTAAACCCCATTTGATTTTGTTTTTTTAAATATAACAATAATATAATATTAGATTACCTGTCGTAGATAACTTGTATATAGCTCGATATTGTTGCTGCGCAGAATCCCCCGGAATATAATCTCCTAAACCAATGGTAGTTAGCGATATAAAACAGTAATAGAAAGCATCCAAATAGTTCCATTTAGGTTCTAAAACAGTAAAGATGGCCGCCGGTACTAGGAGGAATAAAACCATGAAGAGTGTAAGCGCTATAAATAGATGCATCAACTGGATGTGGAATATTTTATAAAGATGGCCGAACTTCCGGTATAAAAATAAGAGGAATAGTTTAGCTGGTACCATCAGTCTCTCTACCAAGGCTGTAAATAGGATTAGTGTCAGAGGAATTCCTATAATGGCGTACAGTATACAGAATCCTTTCCCGCCATCTGAAAGGGGAGTAACTCTTCCATAACCTGAAAAACAGCAAATTGATACAACTTGACATTGTTAAATCAAATCATATCCCCATCCCATCCTAAGTTTTGAAATATGCTCTGTCTATAGTTACAAAACCTCATCTACTGTCCTAACCATGTGGATTACAATCGCAATTGAACGTGTGGCCATACACTAAGGGGATACTCGATTGAACGTTCCGGAATTAAATTCTCTCAATTCCAAAAATAGTGTCAGTCGAGTGAACAGGAAAATTTTCATAGTACAACGCATGTGCCGACTGCATAAAAAATATATCAACCAATCATGACAGCTGAAATATATTTGTTACTTAAAATATGTCACGATTCTACTCACACCGCCTCAACTGTCGGGACTGGCAGAACTGTGACAGGGCTGAATTCCACATCACTTGATTGCAATTCTGTCAATTCGGGACGTTCCAGACTGACAATCGAGCACCGCCTATGTATCTTTCTGTGTGTCGCCTACAGTGACAAAACCTCATCTACTGTCCTTGCCATGTGGATTACAAATCGCAATTGAACGTGTGGCCATACACTACAAAGCAGCCTTCTGTGCTTTTTTTTTCTTATTTGCGTGGTTTATTTAATCTATAACAAAATTTAGGTTGCCAGGCAACAAATGCTATGACCACAGCAGCTGAGTCGTTCGAATATTCCACGAGGGTTGTCGCACATTTTTTCTTTTGTCGGTTCCCAATGCAAACCTTATAGTTATACAAAACATCTAAATGTTGAACTCCCACGCAATAATTTCTTGTATTTCGTATTTCAGATGGTACAACTGGTTAGTTCTTTGTGGGAGGCATCTAGAAACCTATTCATGTCATAAACAACTGCCTGAATCTCTGTTACACGGTTTGATGGACATCCCAAGTTACAGCTGTTCGGTAGAGTGGCATTGCGTTGTGTTATATTTGTTGAGCTTAAATATGTCTTGTACGTGACAAGGAGTAGGAATTGGCCGTCCAACTCTTCCTCCAACTGCTAAAGACACTTACGCGCAAGCGAACTGTTGAAATAAAATTGTATACATATGTTAGTCCCGTAATAACCTAGTTTGCGTCGAGTGGACGTTTAACCCCGTCTCTCCCTCTCTCTCTCCCCCCTCTCTCTCTCTATCCCTCTCTCTGAAAGTATATACCTATTGTAGTTAACACTGTTGCAGCAAAGAACAACGCTTGACCAAAACTCCAGTTAGCATCTGTCATGGTCACATTATTAACAGCAGAAACCCCTCGATTAGCTGCGGACACAACTTCTATTATAAATGCTTCTAAATCATCATCTGAAAAAAAAAAATCACAGCCGAATATAGACAAACATAAAAAAACTTCATTTGAAACAAAAACCAACATAACAATCATAAAATAGCCTTGACTAGATAACATGGTCTAAATGACGTGATGCTGGTTCCTACGTCCCTGCGCTATTCTGACTTCAATATAGTCAGAAAAAGAGTGACGTAGGAGCGAGTCTGACGTATTAGAGCAGGTTATCCAGTCTAAAAATAGCCAAATCCCGACACAACAATCTTCATCTTAAAACAAAACACATCCAATTATACGGACATATAGAAAAGTAATCTATTAAACAAATCCCCACCTATAATACAGACAATCTTAAAAAGAAAGAGAAAAATTTTCATTTGCAACAAAATCCCCCAACCTCACAATACATAATATAAATATTACGGACAGACAGACAAAATCATCAAACCCAACCATAATGCAGAGAAATATAAACACAGACAAATTTTCATTTGGAAGAGTAATACTTAAAGATTCATCAGTATATATCATCATCTGTAAAAATATCCCACGCCCATCAACTTTGGATAAATCAACAACAAAACACATAAATCATCAAAAGACAATACAGATATAGATACATCATCATCAGTAAAAACTAATACTAATAATACATGTATACACCAAATAATCCGTAAAACAAACCATATGGTTAAAAATTGCAATCAAATCATCTGCTTAAAAAATATAAACAAATCATCTGCTTAAAGGCTCAATACCACTCTTGTTGTAACTGAATAATATGTCCCAAACTTTATTCTGGTCAACAAATTGTACTATTTTACAATATTCCAATTAATTGATGATACATATTTCATCTTAACACATCTAATTTAAAAAATTGTAAAAATTCAACTAAATGATTTGAAAAGCCTAACGTAAACCTTTTCAAATGTGACTTGGATTTAAAAATATTTTTGAACCCTCTGGACAAGTAAAATAGGATTTAATGGATAATTTACACAACAGGTAAGACACTAACACATCTAGTACTTAGAATAAGGCTATTTTTTTATTTTCTGCAGCTGTCAAGCCAGCAAGAGTGTTATTGTCCCTTTAAAAATACAAACAAACCATCTGCCTAAAATGTACAAACCAATCATCTGCCTAAAAATTATAAACAAATCATCACCAGTGAAAACAACCAACCAACATTCAAAATCTATAACAAAAAAACCCCTGCTAAATCATTATCATGATCATTTATTAACCATCGTCAGTGAAAAGCAACATCATTGCGAAATCATCATCTATAAAATAAATATTTTACTTAAAGATACATGTAAGATTTGGATAAAGAGCTAGCCATTCTTGCTATAATAGTTCGAAAGTAGATGATGTAAAATGAATAATTTGAAAATTTCATTCAAATTACTCTATTGCAAGCGAAGATATTAGCCTTTGAAGGTTTGACAGACGTGTGCAATAATTTCAACCACCGTACTGGTTGATTAAATCAAAGTATCGCTGAACCATTCTAATCTATTTAATATCGGAGAAATCTGATGCCATCAAGAGTTGATTAAGGCCTGGATCAGTTAATTAATGTCTAATTAATACTTTAGAAAACATTCCAGGCCTAAAGAAAGACCTGCAATAGGCAGATTTAGCTCTTGTATAATGCATGTTTAAATCATTATTAATGTTGTCTGTAGAAACAGTTAATGATAAACCTGTTGAAACAGTTAATTGAGAAACTTAGTCATCCTCATCCGTGGAAACAGTTAATGATAAGCTATAAGCTGTAAAAGTTAATGATCTGTAGCAAGAATTAAAGATACATTATGGGTGATAAGATAAAGAGATGGCAGTTCTTGCTATAATAGGTAAAAACTAGATAGTGTAAAGGTAATTTGCTGAAAATTTCAGTCAAATTGATCCACTATGAGGCGAGAAAGAAGCGGGAGAAATTTTTACATAGTCTCGGTCATCATTACAAAAAACTTTAATAAAAACAGCATAGTCTCGATTATCCATTTTTTTTGATTTAATTATCAACGGCCGTTAGCGGCATATAGGAATCTAATCCAGCCAACATCGAAGGCTAGCCTTGACATCGAGAGTTTATTATGGTCTGGATAAGTTAATTAATGTCTAACTGATAATTTAGATAACATTTCAGGCCTAAAGAAAGACTTGTAATAAGCAGATTTTGCTCTTGCATAATGCATGTTTAATAATGAATTACCGACATTCATTTACAGCAAACTTTTAGGATGGGACGAAAACCCATGTCCCGTGCACACATTGGCGTGCACGTAAAAGACCACTTGATAGTTGGAATTCGATAAAAGAGTAGACCGTAGTTGGAGCAGAACAGTAGGACGTTAAACCCCACTACATTTCATCACATTGCAGCAAAACTGTGTATACGAATTCGAAAGCTTACATTTAGTCATTGTTATAAATGGACTACATGAATCATTTAACTGACTTTGTACGTTGCCTTTAACACATGCAATGATAAAGGCCGTACAATAATGGTGATGAAATATTAATAAAACTTTGTTCATACCGTTTTATAAATTTTTAATTAAACATCATATATGACAGGTGCCCGCTTCACTACACACTAACAATATGATTTTTATATTTTATAAACTCTAGTCAAAGCTCTTAGGATTATATTGATTCTTCTAAACAATGTGTATTTTTTTTTTACCAATTTGGCTGCCATTTTGAGGTTTATTATAAAGTTACTAGCTTATAATTGTGTTATATATTGTGAGCCATGGCGGCTCAGTGAGTAAGATGTTAGCTCTGCTCGCTAACCGGGGGGCTGGGTGGCCGAATGGTTAGCACGTGCGCGCTGCGCTGTATCATACGATCTGTCATTGAGTCAACTGGCGGGGTTTCGATTCCCCGGTTGTACGTGACAAAGAGTAGGGTCGCCTGTCCAACCTCGTGGGTTTTCTCCGGGTCCTCCGGTTTCCTCCCTCTGCTAAAGACCCCTACGCGCAATCGAATTATTGAAATAAAATTAAACCATTTGTTAGTCCCGAAATGACCTAGTTTGTGTCGAGTGGACGTTAAACCCATCTCTCTCTCTCTCTCTTGACTCAAATGACAGGCCTTCTGATACAGCACGCACGTGCTAACCATTCGACTTTCCACCCCCCCCCCCCATAATAAGATAAAAAAGCTGGTAGTTCTCACTATAATAGTTAAAATCTAGATAATGTAAAGGCAATTAGCTGAAGATTTAAGTCAAATTGATCCACTATGCACCTAGAATTAAGCGATTGAAATTTCAGTTTATCCTCGATCATCATTACTAAAGTCTGTACGATAAAATACATAGTCTCGATCATCCATTTCATGATTAAATTATGAATGGAAGTCGAGCACCAAATGGAATCCTGTAAATATCACAGGCTAGCGATGCCATCGAGAGTTGATTATGGTCTGGATAAGTTAATTAATGTCTAATTAATAATTTAGATAAGATTTCAGGCCTAAAGAAAGCCCTGCAATAGACAGATTTAGCTCTTGCATAATGTATGTTTAATACTATGATATTATTCAATCCATTATCTGAATATCATAAATCATTTTTAGAAATAAACATGTCCAATCGTTGAGATGATATTCATATTATTTGTTGAAAATAAAAAATGTCATATTTCTGTGTATAACGATTGTTCTATAAATAGTATTTAATGAGAAAAGCTTTCCTACATTTTGAATGCGACTTTACAATAAAATTTCTTTATTTGCAATTTTAACAGCGAGACTCAAATTTCGTTTTGTTTAGATAATAGAATATTATATTCATATTTTTTTTTCTCAAATTGTGATATTTTTGGGTGTTCTAATTAATACCAGTCCTGCAGAATTTTTCTCAATGAGATTGGGTTTAACGCTCACTAGACACGTACTAGGTCATTTTGGGACTAACACATGGTTCAATTTTATTTCAATAATTCGCTTGCGCGTAGGAAGAAGAGAAGAGAAATGGGGTTGACCACTCGAGACAAATTAGTTCATTTCGGGACTAACACATGGTTAAATTCTATTTCAATAATTCGCTTGCACGTAAGGGGTCTTTAGCAGTGGTAGGAAACCCGGAGGACCGGGAGAAAACCCACGTGATTGGGCAGGTTACCCTAGTCCTTGTCACGTACAATCGAGAAATCGAAACCACGCAACTTAGGATCTAAACCGCACATCTTCGACCATTCGGCCACCCAACCTCTATTCTCATAGGAAAAAAAACCGAAGCTCACCTATGAACACAATGGTATGAAGGTGAACGAACGTGTGACTGTTTCGTAGTTTTTTATTGTCACATTAACATAGATATAAGACAGCTGTTGAGTGTAATAGTTAACCCCGTATAATATATTCATATATACCAGCAGTGATATGATATAACGGTTATTTTATAGTGAACACAATTCAATTGATCAAATGAATTCAATTAGAATATCATATACACGTATCATTATGTATGTTACATATGGGTATAATAAAACTGATATCAATCACATGTGATCTGAAGGGAACGCCCACAGTCGATTCACATCTGAATAAACAACTTAATAGACATTTCAAACAAATGAATTTTTTCTTTCTAAATATTTGGTAAACGCCGCTGTACATGTAAATTTCCCTCGTCGTACACTGCGTGGCGTATGCTTTTATTCATTAGTCGGGTCGACGCAGAAGAGTCGGATGTAAATGAAAGAAAATGGGGTTTAACGTCCTACTGTTCTGCTCCGAACTGGGCTAATGAAGACGAGCATACGCCATACAGTGTTATGAGGGAAAATTTTGCCCGGACAACGGCACTACGGCCTACATATCGAATTCCAACTGTCAAGGGATCAAACACCCGACCTCCAGGCTAGCGAGCCAGCGTCTTACCCGCTTAGCCACCGTGATCCCCCAGAGTGGGATGTAATGATAGCTGAAACATATTCATTAGGTTTAATTACGTCACGATTCTACTCACACCACCTCTGTGACGGGGCTGAATTCCGCGTCACTCGATTGCAATTCCGTCAATTCGGAGTGTTCCGGACTGACAATCGAGTACCCCCTACACTTCTCCTCATCAAAGTATAGATAATTAGTTACAAGCTACCCCCATCCCCAATAGCATTTGATGTCAACAATCTGATACAACACTGAACAACGAGAAGACATCTCCAACTGTTAGCCGAACTCCACACACGGGGGATCAGCGAGTAATACGCTGGCTCGTTAAACATACATTATGCAATAGCTAAATCTGTCTATTTTAGGTCTTTCTTTAAGCCTGAAATGTTATCTAAATTATTCATTTTTTAGTCCAATCCAAACAACCACACACTGTCCAATGTCTCTGTCCTGCACCCCTTACATAGTTCAGGAACCACGCCTGAAAATCCTGATCAACTCAAAACAACGTTAATTCCAGAATAAACAGTGCCATGTGCACCCAAACTATGTGGGATAATAAATGCCTTTAGGGATCCCGGCGCCTTCCACACTCACAAGATCTTTCTCGGTCCATCACTAGTATTCTTTAAACATGCATTATGCAAGAGCTAAATCTGTCTATTGCAGGTCTTTCTTTAGGCAGGCCTGAAATGTTATCTAAATTATTAATTATACATTAATTAACCTATCCAGACCATAATCAACTCTAGATGGCATCGCTAGCCTGCGATCTTAAGTGGATTGTTAGCCGATTTACTGCATAACTTTCCTTCACGATTTAACTATTAAATGGATAATCGAGACTATGCTGTTTATCGCACTGACTTTAGTAATGATGATCGAGGTTAGTTGGAAATTTCAAACGCTTAGTTCTCGGTTCATAGTGGATCAATTTGAATGGAATTTTCAGCAAATTCCCTTTACATTATCTAGTTTTTAACTATTATAGTGAAAACTGCCAACTTGATCTCCCATTTCCGATCTTTGTATTGACCGAGAACGTTCATAGGATTTTGTCAGTGGTGCGGGTCAGGGGGCCTGGCAAGGGACATGTATAGTCGTGCGGGTGAGACATAAACACCGAGGTCCCATGTACACATTGGTGTGCACTTAAAAAAAATAACTTGGCAGTTGGAATTCGATATAAGAGTAGGCTGTAGCGCCGTTGTTCGGGCAAAATTTCCCCATAGCACACTGTATCACGTATGCCCGACTTCATTAGCCCAGTCGAATCAGAACAGTAGGACATAAAACCCCATTTCATTTCATTTCAGTACATATGGCCCAATATATCGCGCAAATTATTATCTTTGCCATTATGGGCTATGCAACTGACAATGACCTTTAAATTGGCCTAGATTTGTTAATTAGTAATTAATAATAGTCATAACGCATAGTAATTATTTTATTATACAGCAAGTACCGGTTTATTATGTTAAATATTGTCGAGTTAACAAGTTTACTCTGGGAACAACAATAAAACTAATAGACCTTTATTTCACAGGTGTTTAGCCATAATTCCGTATGCGATCGTTGTGTATGGCAAATAGACTCCGTATATTGGGAGGAAATGGAATGGGGTTTAACTTGCTACTGTTCTCCTCCGATTTGGCTAATGAAGACGGGCATACGCCTTACAGCTAGCTATGGGTGGAATTTTGCCCAGACAGCGGCGCTACCTCCTACTCTTATATCGAATTCCATCCTGCATCGGATGTTTTACGTGCAGTCAATGTGCGCACCTGAAGCCACGCCGGAAAATAACGATCAACATTCTCGGCCAACGCTGAGATCGAACACTGTACTTCCGGGTTAGCTAGCCAACGTATTCCTTACTGAGCCACCGTGGTTCGATATATTGGGAGGGAAAAGTGAAGTTAAAATTGTCTATTTTCTAATACAATAAATTCCCAATAGGTATTAAATGAAATGGGGCTTAACGTCTACCTGTCATCGAATTCAACCTGTCAGAAGGAAATTTTGCCCGGACATTGGCTCTACTGCCCATTCTGGCTTAGAATTCCAATTGTCAATGGTTCTTTTACGTACATGCCAATGTAACGAGAGTGACTTAAAAGGAGAGATACACATGAAAGGTAATATTCGTTGTCAAAGAGGAAATTTAAAGAAGAGAGGCACACGAAAGGTAAAATTGGTTATCAAAGTGGAAATTTAAGGAAGAAAGACACACATAAGGTAGCCTTCGTTATCAAAGTGGAACTTTAAAGAAGAGAGAAACGCTAAAGGTAGCCTTGGTTATCAAAGTGGAAGAGAGACAGTTTTTTGCTCCATTAAACTAACTCTTACCCCAATATGGCCATTAAAAAAGGGTTCGTTATCTAAATGGAACTTTACAAAAGAGAAACACTCAGGAAAGAGACCTTAGACTATTCCGTATTTATGGTGAACAGACAGAAAGCCTTTTACATGGACAAATAAATGGCTTCCCTTGTCTTAGACCACATTAACTCGTGATGGACCTAAGTAAATATAATCTACACTATAAAGATTTCTTGTGCTGTTAGAAAATCAGAAACGCCATCATCTCTAAATATTTACACACATTAAATAGAACAGACGGGGGAAATCATAGAAAATCTCTTGATCAAGTCCACAAAAATAATCTGAACAGTATAGGACGCTAAACCTCATTTCTTTTGATTTCCACGAAAATAAACTATGAGTAAATGAATTGTAGACATGGGAGTGTTAATGGGGTAGCCCCCAGGACCAGGCAGCGTGTTTTATTAAGCTGATTCGATCCATCTACTCTAAATTAGATAATTATTAAACATACATTATGCAAGAGATAAAGCTGCATATTGCAGGTCTTTCTTTAGGCCTGAAATGTTATATAAATTATTAATTAGACATTAATTAACTTATCCAGACCATAATCAACTCTCAATGTCATCTTATGTGTCGGACTTTTACTGAATTTGAATCCAATTTGCTACTCAACGGTCAATGATTATTTAATTTAAAAAATTGATAATCGAGATCATGTTTTTCATCGTAGCGATATTATTAATGATGATCGAGGCTAGGCCTAAAATTCAAACGCTAATACCTCGGTTAAGAGTGAAGCAATTAGCCCCTGTTTATACATTCCATATACAAGTAGAGCTTTGGACTTTAGTTGGTCGGTCACCACCGGCTTGCGTCGTGCGTGGTTTCTATTCCTAGTGTAAGGTTATGTGGCTTGGAGATAGGGGGCGGGGGCGGATTCTCAACTTTATTGAAATCTAGCAATTCTAATTCAAATTATGACCATTTAAATTTTACACTGCTTTGCACGGATTTCATATCGCAATCCATTCTGCATACCGAGAACTATCTACCTTCGAGAATAGATCTCTGTCCTAAATGGCCGCCATATCAAAAAATAATTAGTATACTGTTTCGTAATGCGGTTCTACTCCGTTTCACATCTGTCATAATCCAGGGATTAAATAAACATTTTCAATTTTATTAAATTGAACCAGAATAAATATTTCTCAAAATTCTCGAAATGTACTTAGTATTTTCGACTAAAATCGTCGATTTAGGACCTAAAATCTCGGTCAACTAGCTAACTGTCTGTTCGCAAGAGGAGGTAGCGCAAATTTAGTATGATCGCGATCTTCACACGCATTAGACATACTGCATATTATCGTTGACTCATTATGAGGCATGAGTCTGTAAGACAGTGATTCTCAACGACACACCTTGGAACACATGAAAAAAATAGCGGCACACCTGGCTAAATATATATGAAAAATATTTGAATTTTGCAAAATAAACACTCGGCAAGTCATGACGACATAAACTGTAGACAGAGACTAGTCATAGACACACTGGTTGAGAATCACTATAATGTAAAACAATGAGCAATCAGGGACAGACTGTGCACCGAAGGACCCCGACTCTATCCCGACGAGGGACCCGCCTTCTTAGGGGGAGGAGGTCGGGATCTGACCCGCCTTCTTAGGGGGAGGAGGTCGGGATCTGACAAACTGACTATAAATGGTGCTTACTGGAGTATATCCGTGTGTTTCTATCATGCACAAATTAAGAGTGTCGCCATTTTACTAATTCATCATAAACAATACAAATTCGAAACTAAGAGCAATAACGAATGTGTGCAGGATTTGAATAATTCAGAAAACCGAAAAGAGAAAAACATGTTGAAGATAATACCTGTAATACACTGGTGATTCTGTAATAAATCAACTCTTTTCTGTCTTAAATTATTCACCAACTTATTCTCTACAGGCTGTTCCAAGATGGCGAATATTAAGGCGCCAAAACATAGATAACCAATCATAAAGAGCACAAGAAACAGCAGACGAACACTCTTTGAAGTCGATCCACAGATACAATTCGTATTTTCGTCCATCTTGATGGTCTAATTGTGTATTTCTTTTAAATCACAGTTCTTGGACTAATTTCCTTTGAGTTTTAAAGAGTTTGCATTTCAGCTCCTGTCCGCCTTGTTAAAGAAATAAAATAGGGTTTACGTTCGGCTGTACTTGTTTAAAGACGATGTACCGAACTGTCTGATCAGGATTTCAATTAGACGTTTTCTCCCAACTTTGATCAAGATTTTAAAAATGGTAATTAATATACTTTCCTTTCCCTGTCTCCTATATATAATCCGTCAACAGCTGAACGTCAAAAATGAAAAATGGCCTTACTTAGAACGAAGCTGTTGCAAGCGTATGCAGTTATCGGTTGATAGATGTTCCCGGAGACGAAAAAACATAGCGGATATTAGCAAACTATTTAATTATAAAATATTATTCCTCGTGTCATGTCGCGTCCGGACCACTCTTCCTATTTTCAATAAATCTCGTAGAATAGATAAATTAATTGAACATAAAAGGCATGTGCGCAAACTTTTAGAATATTATCACTGAGGGTGGTTTGATGATGACAGGGGATTATAGTTCGGTTGTTTAGTATTACTCCGCGTTCTATCGGGAATTAAAAACACAAAATAAACTTAAAAACACGGGAATTTTGGATTAATCAGTCCAACCGAGGTTAAAGATCAATACGGCCTTCGTGTAGGTATATTCGAGGGGTTTAGTATTACACCGCGTTATCGGAAATTCGAATAAATAAACAAACAAACAAATACGGTATTTTTTTAGATTACAGAGTTCCTGCACCATATGTTTGTCTAGATTAAAAATACTTTCAAAAACAGTATTTTTGTTTAAAATTACACAGTCCTCCCGAGGTTAAAGTTCATTTCATATTCCTCAAACAGTTGTATTTTTTAGTATTACTGAGCGTTATGGAGAATTAAACACAAAAACACACAGAGAGAAACTGTAAAATACGGTTCCCAATTATCAACAAAACCCACACACCGTTTCTTAATTAATCTGATCACGAGAGGTTAAAGTTCACGTTATCTAATATTTTCCTTTAGGGTTTTTGTTAATCATGATCCATCTTCAGATATTTCTCGACATCTTAAAAGATTGTCCAAGTTATAGGTTTACTATCATTTAGCTTGATAATTGCTATTTCATCGGTTTTTACTCTATTTCACTTGACATCCCAATATCCAGGTAATTGATGTTGAAGAGACTATAGAAAATAAAGAAATATTCACCAGGGAATTGTCAACTGTTTTAACGTCTCTCCATGTGACACAGTAAGTCGATGTTTTTAATACAAGTATCGGCTCTCATAGAAAACTTTGAAATCGGTCGATAAAAATAACCTTTGTTGTGACGAAATCAATTACATATCCAATGAAAATAGAACATTCCAATTTCAATAATTTAGTAAAAGTCAATCCCCTGTGTGTTATGTATACTACATAGTACAATACGTCATATGTCACTCAAGCTAGTCAATAAAACATTTCAACCGTGAAACGAAACAAAACCCAGCTTGTTCAACTTGTAATAACAATGAACACAGACAAATGACAACCCGCACAAAAAGGCAACTTCGCTTTCGCTTGTGGTTTCACACCTCGGGCTTACGAACACAATTAGCTGTGCACAATACACCACTTTCCAAACTAATACAGTTTCATTTATCCAAAATGCCGGAGTAATATTACGAAACTAACAAGTACACGACTACAAATAAATAAATAAACCGGTATTTTTGTCAGCGGTTAGTTCTCTTTCAGTTATGTACATGTTCCAAAACATCAAATCAATCAAACTGGGTCCACATACATCAACATTAAAATACCAACTCGTCAACAAAAACTGTCAAAAACTACATTAATAAATGAACCCTGTCATCTCGTAGTTAGACTTGTCTCCAAATGCACGCTCGTATTATGACTACGAACAATAGACAAGTCCATTATATGCAGTAGGGATTGAGTATATTATATAGCTGAGTATTTATCAAATTAAATTCAATATGGTACCAGCTGGTATATAATATTGATTCGGCTATAATACTGTAAATATTAGCGAAGAAAACAGAAATAAAATTAAAATGAAATGGTGTTTTTCGTCCTACTGTTCTGCTCCTACTGGGCTAATGAAGCCGCCCCACGCAGTGTGCTATGAGGGGAAGTTTGCCCGGACAGCGACGCTACGGCCCGCTTTCATTTCGAATTCCAACTGTCAATGGTACTTTTACGTGTACGCCAATGTGAACACGGTACCTCAGTTTTTTTTTCGGCCCATCCAAACGATATATACGTTGTCCCTTGCCAGGAAACCCGTTCTACTCACTGACAAGGCACACCTTGGGACACATGAACAAATAGCGGCACACCTGGCTAAAAATATTATGAAAAATATTTAAATTTTGCAAAATAAAAACATACAACCGTAGACAGAGTCAGACTAGGCCTAGTCATAGTCATAGAATGACTCAAACTAAATAAAGAAGACTAGAGCTATGAACTTACTTTATTGCAGTGTTTCGAATTTTATCAGTCAAACAGCTGGCTTCTTTAGTGAGAAATTTACTAAGTGTGCCGTTCAAAATTTCTCGGCACACTTAGGAAGATATCGCGGCACACTTGTTGAGAATCATTGGCCTAGACCTACCCATTTTGTGTGAAAATCCCCGTTAAACGTAGTATTATGCCAGAAATCTATTACATTCGTCGTCGTATTAAGAGAGATAATCAAATTCCGAGGCAAACCACTCGTCGACATCCGGTTCTCAATCAGTCAATAAATAATAGTAAAAACAACATTTTTCTACTCCGGCAACTTCTTGTGTTGATCACCATCATTGTTGTCGTTGCCACCGCTGACGTAAGATCACGTCATGACGATCGTCGCACGTCAAAATTCGTTTAGCGGATGGTACCTAGCCTTTGCCCTTTCAGTTATAGGGCGTGTTTAAAAATTCCAATTTGTATAGACCTACCTTTATTTATTATTTACGTTCACAATATTTTACTGTGGAACACTTGTACATATGAAACCGTATTTATAAGAATCGGGGATATAGTTTGACAAAGCATACAATTTACAGAAACTAAGTTGAGTGGATTCAATCAATGACACCCATGTCAAGGTCGTTTAAACTCGTGGGTTTACTCAGGGTACTCCGGTTTTCTCCCATAGGAGAGAGAGAAGGTGTGTGTGTGTGTGTGGGCGTGTGTGTGTGTGAGAGAGAGAGAGAGAGAGAGAGAGAGAGAGAGGATGGGGTTTAACGCCCACTCGACACAAACCAGGTCATTTAGGGACTATCACATGGTTCAATTTTATTTCAATAATTCGTTTGCGCGTAGGGGTCTTTAGCAGTGGGAGGAAACCGGAGGACCCGGAGAAAACCCACTCCTTGTCACGTACAGCCGGGAACTAGAAACCACGCCAGTTGACTCAATGACAGACCGTATGATACAACGCGCACGCGCTAACCATTTAGCCATCCAACCCCATATTTTAAGATAGAAGAACCGAATAGATATGTGACTATTATGGTTTCGATTGATTCTCCTTCACAAGAAACCGACCGTCTTCTTTAGCTCAGTAGGAACAGAACAGTTGGACGTTAAATCCCATTTCATTTCCATTTCACAAGAAATCAACCCATAGCCGGTAGGCCTACCTTGCTCAAATTGAAATAAAATGGCGTATAACGAGATAATGAGAAATGCAGTGTGCTTTGAATGATATTTTACTCGGATACATATGACTACAATTGTAGCGTTTTTGTTTTCTTTTTAGATTATCTGTGTATCAGTTGGGCCTAGAGATCTAAAATGACCCATTGTCGTGCCCAGGGGAGCCACTCTTGGGTTATGGAGATTATTTGTCGGTGCGGTTTCCCCTTGCCAGACACGAGGTCTAGGTATTCGGATGAGACGATAAAACGAGGTTCCCGTGTACACGTTGCCATGCACGTTAAAGAACACTGGGTCGATGTAATTCGATGAAGAGTGGTAAGCAGAAACGTCGCTGTCCTGGTGAAATGTCACCGATAGCGCTCTGCAAGACGCACGTTCGTCTTCATTAGTCCAGGTATAGGTGAAAAGGGGTTGGATGGCTGAATGGTTAGCACGTGCGCGCTTTATCATAAAGCCTGTCATTGAGTCAACTGGCGTGGTTTCGAATCCCCGGTTGTACGTGACAAGGAGTAGGATCACCTGTCCAACCTCGTGGGTTTTCTCCGGGTCCTCCGGTTTCCTCCCACTGCTAAAGAACCCTACGCGCAAGCGAATTATTGAAATAAAATTAAAAAACATAATTATGTTAGTCCCGAAATGTCCTAGTTTGTGTCGAGTGGACGTTAAACCCATTTCTCTCTCTCTCTCTCTCGTCAGTAGGTGAAAAAAACCCCAGGGCATTAAGTCCATATTATTATTACATACGAATGATTTCGAGTTTTATCTGAATACAAAATCTACAATTAGCTCCTCTTGGGAACAGACACTAATCTAATTGACCGACATTTTATGTCTTTTAAAAATCGTAAAACACTAAGTATATTTCGAGAATTTTGAGAAGTATTTCTTCTGCTTCCATTTAATAAAATTGAAAAGGTTTCATTAGTGTTCGTCCGTTATAAAAGATGTGAACCGGAGTAGGACTGCGTTACAACACAGTATACTAATTGTTGGATATGGAGACTATTTAGGTCAGAGATCTATTCTCGTAGGGGGGGGGGGTGGATGGCTGAATGGTTAGCGTGCGCGCGCTGTATCATAAAGTCTGTCATTGAGTCGACTGGCGTGGTTTCGAATCCCCGGTTGTACGTGACAAGGAGTAGGGTCACCTGTTCAACCTCGTGGGTTTTCTCCGGGTCCTCCGGTTTCCTCCCACTGCTAAAGACCGCTATGCGCAAGCGAATAATTGAAATAAAATCAAACCATATGTTAGTCCCGAAATGACCTAGTTTGTGTCGAGTGGACGTTAAACCCCATTTCTCTCTCTCTCTCTCTGTTCTCGTAGTAGAGTATAGATACTTCGATGTGTGCAGAATAGGTAGATGATTATAGTTACTAATGGTTACTATATATTCTTATCTCCATATTAGGGGATCACGGTGGCTAAGTGGGTAAGGCGCTGGCTCGCTAGCCTGGAAATCGGGTGTTCGATCCCTGCATTGGCCGAGAAAGTTCATCCAGATTTTCCGGCGTGGTTTCCCCTTGTCAGTGATGCAGGACGGAGGGCCTGACAAGGATAGCTGTCTAGTCATTCGGATGAGACGAAAACCGAGGTCCCGTGTACACATTTGCGTGCACGTAAAAGATCCCTTGACAGTTGGAATTCGATATAAGAGTAGGCCGTAGTGCCGCTGTCCGGGCAAAATTTCCCTCATAGCACACTGTATGGCGTATGCACGTCTTCATTAGCCCAGTTCGGAGCAAAACAGTAGGACGTTAAACCCCATTTCATTTCATTTCATTTATCTCCATATTAGACACATCAGTCTTATTATAGTTACTAATGCGATAAGAAGCTTGGAGGTCTTGTTAGTAACCTTACATAATAAAGAAAATGGCTACCGGGTAAATGATATTAATGGCGGTATGTACAGGGGCTTGTTCACTAATGAGAGTAGTAAGGGGGGGGGGGGGGGGTAGATACAACGTCAAGTTTGGCGTGAATGCTGGGGAATGACCCAAGAATGGCATAACATCAGTAGATGTGACACACCCTGGAACACATTAAAAAAACAGCGGCACACCTGGCTAAATATATATATGATAAATATTTGAATTTGGTAA